TTAGATACATTGTACTCTTTCAATTTTTTTTTTGGTGTGCACTTCATATAATCACAAATCGTAGAGAGTGCAAAGTAATCTTCAACAATCTTGAAAAATATGTATACAGGGAATATTTTTGTAAATTACTAAGTATTTATATAGAGAATACTTTTATACTTATATTTATATAGAGAATACTTTTTTAGAATTACTATCTAAGTAAGTATTTATATTGAGAATAATTTTATACATTATATATTACTATTTAAGTCTTGTTTTGCATATTAATAAATAAAAATAAATAACACTTCAATGCTCAAACTGAAATGGATATGGAAAAATAAACTGACATCTTTGTATTTATTATTCATTAAAATATCTTACAGTGATATTTTTTCATGCACAATAATGTTCTCCTGTGCAAAGCTCAAGTGTCACTCATTCATTGGAGAGGGTTACAGAGTAAGGGGTAAGGGCTACAGTATACAAAGATATATGGGGAAGATAATGGTTAACCCTACACTTGAACAGGTTAAGATTGTACTAATTTGAGAAGTGTTCTAACAGATGATGGAAAATGGGACACTGAGATCCAAAGACGTATTGGGATGGCCAAAGATGCATTTCAAAAGCTAAGCAGAGTATTGAGAGACAGAAAAATTTCATTAGAAACAAAGAAAAGAGTACTGAATCAGTCCTTCTATATGGCAGCGAATGCTGGACAATTTCTTCAAAGATGAAGTAGGGACTTGAATCAACAGAAATGTGGTTTTACAGAAAGATGCTGAGGATACCATGTACGGAACATCTGAGCAACAACGAGATTTTAGAGAAAATGGAAACAAAAAGGAGGCATCAGGTAGAGGCAGTTGAAACTTCTAGGGCAGGTAATAAGGAAAGAAGACTTGGAAAATATGATACTCACAGGACAGATTTAGGTAAGAGGGACAGAGGAAAGCGGCATGTAACATACTTGATGGGCTTGAGTAAATGGATGTTAAAACAGGGTTTGGGAGAAATAACAAAAAGACAAAACTTATTATGAGCTACAAGGAACAGGAAGGTGTGGGGGGGCATGATCATGTATGTCCTGAAGAGACATGGCACAAAAAAAGAAAGTAGTAGTAGCAGTTTGTGGGAAGAAGCTGCTGGAGTGGAACTTCTCACCATTGTAATAGGAAGATAATGAGAGCAGTTAGTTACAATGTGTGTGGTATGGCAGTTCTTAGCTTTGAAGGTTAAAACTAGTGGAACTAAGGAATATAGCTTGTTATAAACACTTTCCATTGAAATAGCAATACAGTAGAGGGAGGCTTGCAATGCTCCATCTGTAAGACTTTGCTGAAACTAATAGTTTATGCAGAAGGGATTTTTTTAATAGTTAAAGTTTTATTGATAAGATAACCTGCAGAAAATATCTACTGATAGCTACTTACTAGTTTTGTCTTGTTAATAGTAAATTGAAATATATATAAGGCTAGTGAATTTTTTAAATATTTCATTTTTTTCTCAGGTTTTTATTCATATAGATTTTTTTATTTGTTTTGGCTTTCACATTTAAGATCAAATTTTTGCCAAGTTCTTTAAAATTCTAATCATAACACCATATCAAGATTTAATGACATTGCATCAGCAAAGCCGCTAGAAAGATGTAATTTTCAAATTCAAAAACCGTGACCTCAATATAAATGTTGTCACGTAATCGTAGAGTTAGTCTCAATTTAAATGGAATGAATTTTTTCTAATACCCCCTATTGCTGCCAAGGATTATCATAAATTTTGGGAGAGTATAAATTCTTGATTTTTCAATCATTGTAAGTCCAGACCATCCCAAAATTAATTAATTTTAATTAAACATCATTTGGGTTGGGTATTTCTTTAGCAATTAACCAATGGAGTTGAAACCATTTTGGTTATTTCCTCTTAATTAATCTCAGATCCCAAAAATTCCTTCTTAAAAAAAAGGAATACATTTTGACAGAATTAAAAGCCTTTTCAAAACAGGCACAAATGGAAATATTTTAATAAAAGAGTAAATTACTGTAAATTCTGTCTCAACTCTTTGATAATAGTTATTTTTTAAACAAGAAAAAAGAGATTCTATTTAGGCATATATAACATAGCACTAGATTGAATAATCATATACATATATATATATATATATATATGAATTTTTATATAACAAGAACAATTTAAGGGGAAAGATGTATGATACAAGATCTTTTTTTACTGTGTCATACATATTTCTCCTAGCTTATATATATATATATATATATATATATATATAATCAAAATAAAAAAAAACAGTCAAATTTAGAATCCACAGTGCTCGATACACAGTAGAGCATAATATTATAATATTATTTAAAAATATGTATTCATCGCAACATAGAAATTATCATGTTTCAGAACTAAAAACTAAACTTTTTTTTAAGTTTTAAACTTTAATTTTAAGTTTAATTTAAAATTTAGTTTTTAGGGAAAATGGAAACAAAAAGGTCACTTACATTTAGAATCAGAATAAGACAGTTGAGATATCTAGAGTACATACTGAGAAAAGATGGCTTGGAGAATTTGACAATCACAGGTAAGAGGAGCAAAAGAAAGCAGCAAGTAACCTATCTAATAAGCTTGAACAGGGATTAGGAGAAATAGCAAAAAGATAAACTAAGATCTACAAAGGTTAGAAAGTTGTAGGAGCCATGATCGCCCACGTCCTGAAGGAACATGGAAGAAGAAGATTATTATTATTATTAAATGCTCCTTAGGTAGTAGCACTGTGTAAAGACATGTTTGGGATAATAGATTTAACAAATACAAAATAAGAAAAAATTAAAAATACCAGAATTTTTCTTCTTTTCTTTTCCCCATATTTCATTCTCTGATGAAGCTTTCATAAAAGCAAAATGTGTTAGATTTACAAATGTTTCCTATTTGTTCTGTTGGATTCCAATCCATATTTGATCTATATTCAATAATATACATGTTTTTTTGTTTTTTTTTTAATTATTTCACCCCAAGCATGGCAACAAAGACACTAACATGCAAGGGGTTACTGAGTGTGAAAGAATATAAGAAAAACATTATTAAGGAGCGAGAACAATAAAAGAACAGAATTTAAGAGGGCAAAAGATAATGATTGACATTGCATTTAAACTTTTGAAGATTAAACTTGACTGGAAAGCAAGAAACCAGAAGAAGGTTCCACAAGTAAGAAGTGTGAGAAAAAAAACTATTAGCACAAAACTTATGTTTCCATCTAGCTGTTCCCCCCTGTAAAAAGATGAGATCTTTCCACCAATCTAATAATGTGCTTAAATCCATTGAGTTTAGGTACCATCATTAGAACATTTACCATGAAATGCATTCATGTATGAGAGGTCGCTAAAATTATTTTTATTTTGGATGGTTGCCTTTATTTGGATGTAAAGGGATTGTATAATCTTTAATCTTAAGTATTATTAGAAAGAAGCTCTCTACTTACCTACCTAAATCATCAAGTGAAGTCAAGATCATAGTTAATTGGGAATTTTATCTTTTCTATTGCCGTATAATATGTACTTCAATAGGACTACATATAGATTTGAATTCAGAATTTTCTTTTTCCTATACTGGTTGCCAACCATAACTAGAGATCCCAGCCTGTTCTGCTGTAAATCCATAGCTGGGGACATAAGAGATGAGGTTATATTTTCCTAAGAGTATTTGTGCAAAAGTTAATATAACAAACTCGACTTGAATTTTAACTCAGCTCAATAATTTCTTGTTTCAAGCTCATAACCATTACGTTTAGGAGCTATGTGATATTATTAGGAGCTATGTGATATTATTGTAATTCTTCATTTTCTGTAAAATTTTATATGCAGCTTTATTTAAATTAGTATTTTCTTTTTCAGACAAAAATTTTAGAATCTGAAATTAGGATTAGAAGTTGGATACAAATGAAAATAATATGCCTTCTCTTTACATTTTAAATAAAAGAAGAATAAATACTACACTTAGATCTTTGCAATCAGCAGTGAACAGAACAATAATTATATATTATGATCAAAATAATCGTCTTTAACAAACAAATTTCCTGTGAACAGTTCTTTTGTCTATTGATTTTTGTACTATCGGAATCAAAGTCATTTGCAACGCTTTCAGAAACATGCCTTTGACTCCTTTGTCATCTTGCAGTTGAATCAGTAGCATCCATATTTAAAGTCATAATGACAAAGTGGAAAAAATGTTTTGTCCTTTATATCTTCATCAATCTAAAAAATGTCTTTGTTGATGTAATTATATAAACATATGAAGAGGGAAGGGTAATATAAAAATGTAAATGTTGGTAAGAATTATGCATAAATAGAAAACACTGAAAATGTTAAAATTTCAAACTTTTAAATTTTATTAAGTTTTTTCTTTAGATGTGTTTATATATATAGTCTAGCCAATTTCATTTAGTTTCTTTATGCTTTTTGTTATATAGGAATAAAGTGTCACAGCCGACACTTGAGTTTGAACATAGATCGCCAGTGAGCAAACACAGGTGATCACATTATTGAATTAAGTAGACCACATGACTATAGAGGAAATGCATAAGTAGAAAGTAGTGTGACGTCTAAATGATTGCATTTCTAGTCTATCCTCTATTACTATGCAGATCACCATTTCTACTCTATCCTCTTTTACTATATGGACCGCTATTCTCTACTCATTATACTATTTCTCTGTTCAGATGACTATACGGGTTATTTGTTGAGCGAGTAATATCGATCAAGTACTATTTGTGAGAGTGTTATTTGAAGGCGACTGACTAGACAACATTGTTCAACAGCATACTATAATTGTATCTGCAGTTACAAAGTCTCTACTACAACGAGCATTACGAAAGTAACACAGAGTATTTGTTGACATCACAAAACTTTTGTTTCTGTTTTTGTGGCTTTTATTATTAAGTATCCCACATCATGATAGAAGATCTGCCAAGAAAGATGTGGGATATTTGCATATCCCAGCAAAACAAAGGCTTATTGTCATATCATGCTGAAACACCAGTTCTCATACAATCACTGAAGTTAAGCAACATCAAACCTGGTCAGTACCTAGATGGGTGACCACTTGGGAAAAGCAGTTGCTGTATTGGATAATAGCTTGAAAATGGAGATCAGGGAGTTGAGTTCCAATTCCAGTAGGGTTTGTTATATTCACTTATGCACTTTGGAATGATATGAATCCACCTCTTCTCTCCCGTTATGGGTTAATTAGTAGGATTTATATCAGTAAATCATTATTATCTCTCAGAAAGAAATTCCTACAATCTAAAAGTATTTTCTGAGTTTAAATAACCTGTAAAAGTTTGATAAGCTGTAAAGAACAAATCAAAGAGCTCTGCTCATAGGAGCATTACTCCTGACAGATCCAGAAAGAGCAGAATTGAATGAAGGATAGGGAGGGATCTGACTAAATGAGAATCACAAGAAGCCATGGGATGTGGCATGGTAGTTGTGTTGATTTGATAGAAAACTCAACCTCACTAACAATTAATCAGCAACAGTGAATGACACAATCCTGGATATGCCAAAATTTCTAGGTTTACCTAGTTCCCATAATGAATTACTACTTCAAGTACAGTATTGGTTGCCTAGTCAAATTTGCCTACATTTCTAAGATGAGGTATGTACACTATTTACATTATTTGGACTATTGTCCTCATCTTTGTTGCCATATTTATCACAAAGTTTCCGCCATTGTATGCTCTGGCCTTCTTCAGGTGGTTGGAATGTTGAACTGAACCCTTTATTTCGCTCACTGTGGTAGACTGTTCTAGTTCCATGTGCCATGTCTAATGGATGTCATTTATCAGTTATCTCCTGTTAATTCCCCTTTCCAAGTTCTCCACTGCCTTAACCAGGTACTGAACTCACAAATCTGTTGGTCCTGTCACATGGCACAGTGGATAAAGACGTTGGTTAGATCCAGTGACAAGACCCCAAAATTTGCGAGTTCAATACCTGGTTAAGGCAGTAGAGAACTTGGAAAGGGGAATTAACAGGAGATAACATAACAGACATTCATTAGACATGACATGTGGAACTTGAACAGTCTACCCCAGCGAGTGAAATAAAGGGTTCAGTTCAACATTCCAACCAAATGAAGAAGGCTGGAGTGTACATCGGCTGAAACGTTGTGATAAATATGGCAACAAAGATGAGGACAATAGTCCGAATAATGTAAATAGTAAATTCAGATTTGTCACTGAAAGATTAGTTATGACTGTGATTTTATTAATACTGGAAAGACTCATGAAATGAGTAAATTTCTGCATTGGTCATATGAGCAACACACTTTCTCATAAGTTTATTTGTCACTTATTGAAACTTAGTGCAATTTAGGCATATATCATTCATCACACCACAAACAAGCAAAATACATATATAAGATAATACCAAAATTCTATGCAGTACACACTGTAAAGAAAGGTTCAGATTATTCAAAGGTGTTATTATAAAAAAGAACCTGCACATTATTCGGACTATTGCGCTCATCTTTGTTGCCATATTTATTACAACGTTTCAGCCGTTGTACGCTCCAGCATTCTTCAGGTAGTTGGAATATTGAACTGAACCCTTTATTTCGCTCACTGGGGTAGACTGTTCTAATTCCATGTGGCATGTTTAATGGATGTCAGTTATCAGTTATCTCCTGTTAATTTCCCTCTGAAAGTTCTCCACTGCCTTAACCAGGTATTGAACTCACACTCTTTGGGTCCTGTCACTGGATCTAACTAACGCCTTTATCCACTGTGCCAAGTGTCCTTGAGGACATCTGTGAATGAATAACTGTGTAGGAGATAACTGATAACTGACATCCATTAAACATGCCATGTGGAACTAGAACAGTTTACCCCAGTGAACGAAATAAAGGGTTCAGTTCGACATTCCAACCAGCCGAAATGTTGTAAGAAATATGGCGACAAAAATGAGAACAATAGTCCAAATAATGTAAATAATACCTCATCTCAGAAATATAGATAGATACAAATGAACCTGCATTAAATAAAATACATTTCACCACAAAATCCAGTTCAATCCATTACGTTCACTTACATGCTAATACCCTTGGGAAAGGTATGAATCCTCTTCTTCCCCCAGCTATGGGTAAATAGCAGGAGAGTGACTAGTATGGTAACTAGTCTACTGCAGAAAGAAATGGCATCCTAGTGCGGGAAAAATCTGCCTCATCAGTCATGTATCAAAAGATACATGATCGCCTAAGCATGTATCACGTATGGCACATAAATGACTGAATATGAATGCTGGTTGTAATTTTCAGAAGTGGGTACAAATGAAAAGATTAAAAATTGACAACTTTCTCTATTTCACTGAAACAACCATTAAACACTTCTATCTTCCTTCTCTTTCTTTCATTAACTTTCTCATTGAAACCAAGTAGCACACATTTTGTATTTCTACACAATCAAAAGGGAATAGTCCAGCATTTATGAAATGCTGGCAGGCGACGTTAAACACTTTAAACATCTTTCCTTTTCTTTCTTCCTAGCTAAATCCTCCTCTTACAAACATTTCTGTTTATAATAATTCTAAAATAATTTACCAGACAATTTTTGGCGATTGCCTTATTCGATTTCCTTCATTCGATATTATGCATCTGAAAAATGGCTGGGATCAAAGTGGAGTATCTGTCCTTGATACTACATTTCATCTCTCAGTTGCAGTTTTGTCTGTGTGCAAATCAGATGTACCTCTGTCTTTAGACAGAGCACAACTAAAAATAATTTTGAGAAGTACCTGGTTTCAGGAAACAGCTGCCAATGGCAGTACCTCCCTCATTGCACTAAAGATGGAGAATCAGTAGTAATACTAATGCTAATGCAACTGACAGTTGTGCTAGCATTGGTATTAATCTGATTCTCTCTTTTCACTTCTATCTTCCCTTTTTTCTTTATTTCTTTCATTTTGTCACTGAAACCAAGTAGTGTTTTTCTCCTATTTCCACATGATCAAAATGGAATTGTCCATTATTTATGAGGTATTAGCAGAGTGTAATGGTCATGCATACTAATGAAGGGATGGACAAGAACAATTATAATAGGATTGACTATCCACAGTCATGGATGACTAGTAAAGATTGTGTCATAAAGGCAAGCATATGCAAGTAAGCTGGACATGAGGATGGTGATGATGATTTCTTTCATCTTAATTATAGTTGCTTTTTATTGCAACTCTCTGAGCCATTTTAACACCAATAAGCAAACAATGCAAGTCAGAAATATAATAAAAATATGTTTACTATAAAACTGAAATTTGTATTCATTTATTTTTTCTTGGAAAGCCTGTCTTAGCATAACAGATGCTCTACCACCTGACCCATGAAAATCAGCTACTGCAGATCAGATCAAACATAATAGACTTATTTCTTTTTATCTTTGATTGCCTAGCACTGCCACCTTTGATGTCTTGTTTACATACACTGTTAGCGTTAATGAAAAATAAGGCCATATCCCTGCATGACATAGACTATCATGGTCCTCCACAACTTACTCTCTTTAATATCTGTGAACTGTCATGATTTCTTTGGAGAGATAATGGATTGGTTTCCCTTCAGAACTTAATCGTTCACAGCCCTCCACAGCTTCCATCTTTTAATATCTATGAACTTCCATGGTTCCTTGGGAGAAATAATGGATTAGTCTCAATTTGGGATATAGGAAATTATGGCTCTCCACAACTTCCTCTAACATCTGTGAATTACTGTGATTTCTTGGGGGAGATAATGGATTGGTTTCCTTTAAGGAAATAAGCTATCATGGCTCTCCACAGCTTCTATTTTTAATATCTATGAACTTCTATGGTTTCTTGGAAGAAATAAAGGATTAGTCCAACTTCAGGATGTAGGTGACCCATGGCTTTCTGCAACTTCTTCTTTTTAATATCTGTGAATTTGTATGATTTCTTGGAAGAGATAATATCTGTGAATTGGTATGATTTGTTGGAAGAGATAATGGATTGGTTTCCCTTCAGACCAACCTTTTCCTGTTGACTTTTCCAAGTGACTGTGATTCTCCACAGCTTCCATATTTTAATATGTATGAACTCCCATGATTTCTTGAAAGAAATAATGGATTGATCTCATTTCAGGATGCAGGCAATTATAGCTCATCACAGTTTCCTCTATTTAATATATGTGAATTGCTATTTTCTTGGGAGAGATAATGGGTTGGTTTCCCTTCAGGACATAAGTGATCATTGCTGCATTAAGACAAGCTTCCTCAGGAAAAAGGAATTTGAATTTGAGCCCTACCAAAGGTCTATAATTTATTTTCATTCTTACTTGCTTACTAAAGGCTGTAGAATGACAAGCTAAGATTTGTGAATAAAAAGCAACTGAAATCAAGATAGAAGTAATACTAGTCAAAAAATAAGAAGAAAAGGAACAAAAAGTTATGACAAAAAGTGAGAATAGGAAGGACTTGACGAAAACAGAAACAATTACAAAGACAAATGAGGAAACAAAAGAGAAATAAAAAATGCCAATAGGAAAAAAAGTAATATTAAAAAGAATAAAAATCAGAGAAATACATGGCTAACATAAAAAAAGATGGAGGTGTATAATAAATAAAATGATGAAAGAGTGGTCAGAGAAATTTAAGAGTAAGGTTGGTCAGAAGGGCAAAGGAATTAATGTATGCTCATCTCATCTTGGTTAGTGTTCTAAGAATTTTTTTTTCTATTTCTTAAACAAGGCATTATCAAATATTATTATTTTTTGACAAGTATTTCTTGTTCACTTTTTTTTTTCATTACAACTCTCAAGGCTTCAACAGTCATTAGCAAACAATATTGATAACAAACAATAAAGAATAAGCCTGCAATTAAACACAAATTTGTATCCCTTTTCTTTTGGAAGCTTGTCAGTTGCTTTACTAGTTAGGCTACAGAAACTGTCTTGTTGTAGTCATTCAAATCTAATGATAAACTCATTCTTTATTCATAGTTCATTTTTTATTATTATTGCTCATCTGCATTGCTTACTGATGAATGAAGAATGATTCTTTGAGTTATGATTAAAAGGCAGCTGAAATGAAAATGAAAGAAATACTAGTGAAAAAATTAATAATAA